CTAAGTATTTGACTGTTTTTGTTATTGGTTTTTAATAAAGTTTTTAAAACGGTATCTCTCTTGCGGTTTTATTGCTAGCAATTATTAGTCACGTGTTTTAATTGATCCTTGTTAAGTTATTTACAATTGTTTATATAATAATACGTCAAGGTACTCCCTTGGGTCTAGCTGTAGAGATGAACTAATTTGTATTCAACTTTGGAGTTGTTAACCCGCATAATAAACTGACTAACGCTAACGGCGCGTGAGTTGACAAGACCATAAGTTCATGAAGCGCTGAGTTTCCTTGAGATAGAACGGAGAAACGCTTTTGTAATGGTGAGTCAAAATTGAAATAGAGAGTTTTCATCTCCACTTTGTGTATGTGTGTGTGTTTTGTTTATATATCCGATTTTAAGCGCTAAATAAGAAGATATGTGTTGCTAGGCGATCGCACCTCTTATTCCTATCTTTTTTAAAAATAGACGTTCCACTCATTAGGAACAAGAATGGAGTTTATTCAAGAACCAAAAGAGTTCGGGTTACTTTAGGAGCACCTGTTGTTTTCTATAGAATTTTTATACCCTGTGCATACTTTCTAAAGAGTCAAGTAAACAAAGATTGACATTTTTGCTTGATAAGCAATTCTTCGCTTCGCTGAGCTTCGACCTCGTTTTCATGTTTTGCCCGAAAAATTAATACGATTTCGCTTTCGCTTAGCCTCCTTTTCCCTTCTTTTGAAGTAAAGATTGTTCAGTTAACCTCCATGTCTTGGTTTTGTTTATAACCGATTTTTAGTGAAAATAATTTATTTAATGATTAAAGATTTTTCATTTAGTATAATCTGCAAAGATAACACGTTCAAAATTTGCCCGCTTTTATTTTGAACATATGACAGTTTCTACAATATCCAATCAGACGACTATAGCAAACAATATCTAATCAGAAGACTATAACAAATAGCTAATTATATAAAAATCACTTTTCTGTTTATAGATTATGATCTCAACATTTTTTGATGACGTCAACTCTAGGAAATTCTGACGTCACTTGCTCGTTGCCAGCTACAAATAAACTATGATATCATCCTATCTATACGACATGCATGGGTCATCGGCATTAATGTAAACTATGACATCATCCTATCTTAATGAGATGTATGACGTCACCGGCGTTAATGTATTCCCCCCGCAAGTTAATGAAATTCCCCCGCAAAGAAAAGGTTAATTCGGTCCCTTATCCACTACTATAAAGATGGCTTCCCTGTTAAATAACCAAGCGCAAACCAGACACCCCCTCGTTTTACTCCCGTGAGGGAAATTTATCACCGACGTAAATAAAGAGAAAAATCCGCAACCTAAGGGCCTGTTTACGTGGAGGTGGGGGACCCCAGGAAGGTGAGGTAGCCCGCTTAGGTTGTGTAACCCGCCTGTCCATAAAATCTCCCATTTTAATTTGATCACGTTTACATGATAGGTGGAGGTGACCATTTGAGAGATTATATGGACAGGCGGGTTACCTCACCTTCCTGGGGTCCCCCACCTCCATGTAAACAGGTCCCTAAATTTTGCAGGCTTTCGCGTCTGCGTTTGTCATGTTGACTTAGACAAAAAGTTTCTAACGAATTTCTGGTCATCTCTGTTGCTTTAGTAAACAAGAATTACTTTGCTTGAGAGTGACACATGCCAACCAGGGTGTTTAAGTGTACTCTGCTGAAGGGGCTAAACTCTCACACTCTCTCCTTACTCACCTAAATAGCAAAAGGGAAATGGGTGGCCCCTGATAAACAGCTTGTTTTCATCCCTTGTCAGGAGTCTTCAAGGATGAAAAGGGACATTGCAAATCCCAAGGGTTTTGAACCACCCATTTAAATGGACCTGTTAACATAAGGAGTTTAGCTTGAAGGGAGAGTTTTTTCAATTTTAGCATAGGAATGTAGATTTCCTTTTAGTAGCTGAGAGTTTATTATATGACCGCTAATTGCTTTATTATAATTATATCAACGAAAGCTTCGTTTTTATCCCTGGCTAAAGTTATATATTAAGCACAGGTAGAAGTGTTTCCTTACACGGTCATTCCTGTAAGTACCTTTCAACTTTAAATAACAGGAAAGAAAAATGAAATTAGACTATCGCGCCTTTATTCCTTACAACGCTGTGTCTCCCTTTGCAGGTTGTAAACACAGGTATGAAGGTTATTGCACGCTCTGAAGCTGACAATGTGGCTTGTCATTTTCGACTTATGCAGGAGGTATGCAACAACCACCTTCACGCCTTCTCGAGCCGTGAAGAACGCCTCATATCAGTCTATCCAAATACAATCGGCCGAGTATAACTGGGTCAAACGCCGCACTTCACCCGAGCCCAACTTAATTATTTGATCTGGGCTCATCTGAAGAACGGTGTTTTAGCCGGGCCTTAATGTCGAACTTCACATGTGCCTATCTATTATTCTCGCCCATTTGCATTAGGCTTGGTGCATATTAGATTTCTTTAGTTATTTCACAAAATGTTATAACGGTTTTTATTGTTGTTATTTCAATTACTTAGGGTATCGAAGCGTTGTTACCCTACATATCCAAGCGCAAAGTAGCTATAACCCAGGAGGATGTCATAAGCCTTTTAACTCAAGACAGGCCCTTTTGCTCTGAGTTTTCAAGTACAACTAGGGACCAGCTCAGCAGTATCGAAGGTTTGCTTCTCTCTCTCTTGTTTTCATACCAAACTACACAGTACACGTAAATATTTACATAAATACGTCTTCCAATTCTGTTCTCTGCAAATGTTAGGTGGCTATTTCCTGGAAAAAACACTCTAGGTTGCCAATTAGTACTTCTTTTTACTTACTTCAGTTAGCAGGAAACCTTAAGGTATGAAGAGAATTGTAGAAGATAGAAATTAAATATGGATAATACCATTTATTTGTTAAAAAAGGAATAATGTTTAGCATGTTTCTTGTCTGATTGCCTTTAAGATATCACTTAATAATTTCATAGGACTGTTAAACACAAACACATACTTTGTTTACAGGTAGCCATTACGACTCCTGAAGGAGGGTCATGTTGTTATCCCTATAGTAAGATCTGTCCTTACAGACAACCCACCCAGCCCTGGAAAGGTTGGCCACACCACCGGGATCTACCTCCCCTAGACGCGTACATTGAGTTGCACTCTTTGTACCTGACTTTTCACTAATATTATGTGTATTTGCTTTATAGGTCAAGGCTGTATCGTGTACCTTTATGAACCAACAGGACCATACAGGTGAGTGGTTATTTATAATAGGTTCTTAAGTTGTGGTTCTATCTTACCGCAGAGTCATGAAACTGAAGCCAAAGGCTCCCATAATGGGGTTTATTGTATGAATAACTAGAGCATCCCGCCATATGGAATAAAAACAATTAAGGAGAAAAAACGAGATTAATACATATAAAATTAACTTTTGTAGAATGTGTAGTTAAATCCCCCACCCCGCTAAAATTTCCGTTCCAGGGGGCGCTTGCCATGCCTCCTTACCCCCTGGAATTTCACTGGTGCTCTGTTTTTTTCGTCAGCAAGGCTGTATAATGCGAAAAGTACATGTTTGTGGGATAAAGTGAGAAAAAAAATCTTATCATGTTAATACATGGTCTAATAAAATCAATTTTGCCCTGTAGAGGTTTTTCTTAGCTAATAATTAACGGTAAGCCACTGCCGAAGAGCCATGGAGATGATACATTCACTAAAAGATAAAGTTACCTTTAAACTAACACCGAATGGACTTAAATTAATTCCTTTCAGTTAAAACATGTAAGAAGAAGGCTTAGAGCACGATCACATTACGGTGCATACCACAACAGTGTAATAAAGCAACAGCTAAATGACTGGAAGTTTATTCATGACCGATGACAATTGCATTAAAACAAATAAATGAAAAAAGCATTCAGGCGACCCTAATTAAAAGATTAATATATAGATTTAGCCAGGGCTAAAAGCGAAGCTCCCATTAGTAAATTTATAATTTAAATCAAACAATAAACTTGTAATCCACAAATCAGTTAACTTTAAGGGAAAGCTAAGGCTAAGTGATTTTAGAGTGCAAAAAAAATCTTACATCGAATTGATAGCCGTATATATACACCCAAAAAATAGCAATCATCTTCGATCACATTTTAGAGCCATAATGGCTCTTGATCACAGTAGATTAGGCCTGGAAAACGAATTTTTGGGAAACAAATCAGGCCGAATTTTTTGCTTTCGACAAGTTTACTTAACAAAAACTTGCCAACAACTCTGGGAGCGTGTAAACCAACATTTCATACTTTTTATACATCACATCTGAAACAGTGATATGACGCGTTGTTTTTATCATATAGACCTCGGACAAAATGCAGTATTTCACAATTTTTCAAGACAAATTGCACCCATTCAATATTCAGAACCGTACGAAGCACTCGTGGGCTTTTAGCAAAACCGTTCAAAAAATTTCCAAAATCATTTATACGGCCAGCCGGTTGTCTCTTTTGACAAGCGCCAAATTTTCAGTGAACATTAAACGAGTTACGCTTCAACATAATAAAGAATTCATTGTGTTTATTTTTTTTATTAAATGGTTTTATAACGATGTGCAATCTTAAAAAAGCGTTTGATACGAGCAGCATTTTGAGTACTCCTGCAAGCGTTGTTTATGAACGACTGAAAACAAACTGCTGGGCGATTAAAATTGTAAGAGACTACTAACAATCAATAAAAGAAATGTAATTCGGTGAAACATTTACAGAGACAACAATTTTCATTCACGAAGACAAGTATTAAAGCGTCTCTAAGAACTGAGTCTTTAAGCTTAAGCTTAAAGCTTTTAGCCGGCTTCCTGGTGTTTACTGTTTTCAAAGATGAACTCGAGGCAAGAAAACCGCTCAAAGCTTTCTTTCTACAGCCAAAATTATAACTAAATACTCTTCGGAAAGTTTTTCGTTCTATATGCGGAGAGAAAATATCGACTAAAGGCTTTTTAAAGTTCTGTAAGCTTATATATACTAGATCAGATCATTGTCTCAGATCTTAACACAAACGTGCATAAATTAGCCTGATAAACTGCGCTCGACTTCATGAAATTAGATATAAAAAAACAAACATACACTGGATACAATAATTACTTAGGCTTACCATTCGAGATGCAGCTCTTGAAAGCTATAAAGTAAGGCCAGAATCGCTTGAGGGACTTTTCAACCCGCATCCAGCAAGGTAAAAACGAAAGCGATGCATCCGAAATCGGATTTCCAACTTTGGCAACCGGCGCATTTCCCGACCAAAAATTCAATAAACAAACCAGCCATGAATCAAAGAAGACTGTTGATAGTAGCTGTATTTCATTTTAAGCATCCAGTGGAAAAAGACAGTAAAAAACATCAGAAGTTGACAAAATACTCTGTCAGCTTCAGCTGTCAAACTGAAAGTAAACAAGGTTCAAGATGCTGTATAAATTTTCTGCATGAACTCACCTGTCAAATTTTGACCAATCAGAGCATAAAAATTGGACGGTCGTAGAGCGTGATCAACGCGTGTCTATGGTGAGAAAAGTGAAAAGCCTCTGTCTTCCCTGTTTGTCTTTTTAAATGACTGGCTGAATTTTCGAGTCCGAGATGAGTTTGAAATCAAAATGTTAATAGCGCGGGGCCATTGTGACATTAACACAACACTTTCTGTCATCATGTCATTATTTTGCTGCCGTTCTCTTTGCCTTTGTATTTCTCTTTCGCGTTGCCTTTGTCTGTTCATTCTAGCTCCGTCTCGTTCTACTTGCCGGCGTTTTTCACTATAATTTTCTCTCCTTCTCGCTCTGACTCTTTCCACTTGCTTTCTTTTTTTCAAAACCAGTTGCGCGATATAATTGCGCGACGTTGCGCCATGCGATTTCCCGCCAAAAAAATCTCTACTTTCCCCTACCCGAAGAGTCCATGCGGACTACTTTCCACTACCCGGAAAGTCCGTACGGACGGACGTACGCTACGTCATAACCAAATTTTCTGGGATGGATAGTTTACCAAATTTTCTTACCCATGGTGCTCCGCTGCGCGCGCGCGAAGCGCGCGCGGGAGCTCCGCTATGAATACAATAATTCTTGTTTTGAAACACCCGTTAACAGTAAATAACTAATGGCTTGCTCAACAGAGCAGCAGTTAGTTTTTAATAACCAGCCAAGCATACTCGAAGCCCCCGGAAAACGACCTCATAAAGCCACTCCCCACCCCTTTGGAAATTGCCTCCTTTTAAATCCCCCTCCCCCCTCCCCCCCGCGTTTCCCTTGTCCTCCGTGAGGAGGGTATGGATATTTTTTTGGAACTACACAATATTGGTTTTGTTGGAAACAGCAAATGAAAATTGAAATACCTTTTTGAACCCTGCTACCAACATACTGAAGTCGAATTTACTGCCAGCTTTTGAAATATGGTACCTCTCGTTTTAGTGCGATCACAATTTACATTTTTTCACTCTTCGCCTAGCTTGTTGACAACAGTTTTTGGCGTCAGATTTGTATAGGTGACGCCGTACTTTAATACGATGTTAAATCTTTTACAAGTCGTTGGCCTTGATTACTCTGAAGTTTTGAACTTCCTCTGAACATGTGTTTCAGTGGGTACACTTGCTTCATCTGGTTTCACTCTTTTCCTTTGTCTTCCTTAAGATCATTTCGTTGTTAATTCTCACTCTCTTGATCTATCTTGGTGAAACGGTCTGAGCACTATCTCTGCGCTCCCTATATATTTTAATATTAAGAGAACGTTTGACCCCCTCTGAACGTTACTTTGAGATGGTAAGATAGGTTTAAACTAAATGCCGTTTCACAAGTTTTTCCTTTTTCAAAAGTTGAAAAATCCAAACTGTTTGCCTCCCTTCCATTTGGGATTCTTAATATTCTTATGTTGAATTTGACTATTATTTACTTGTTCCCAAAAACGATTGCGCTGTTAATAGTGCTGAGAGTAAATAATGATCATTACTTTTTTACGAAGTTTTTGGTTATATTTGTGAGGTCTTTCATACATATGTTGAAGTTGAATATGATCTTTGGTTCTCTCTTTATTTTTTGTGTTATATGCAATGATTTTGAAGCAAAAGGAAATAAAAGTTTATCCAGGAATTAATTGGAACAAACAGTGTTGTGCCATCGCGGTTTAGAGGTTACCCATATGCTCTTCACCTCTTTAGTTTTCCTGTGTGTATGCAGCGTTGCTATCAGACTAGCAAAAATCTCCTAGTCTCCATTCCATTATAGCAAAGGGTTAACTAGGCTTGTGCTTCCGTGATCTTTGTAATTGTAATGGCGTTCGATGTGAGGGCGACGCAATCTAATCTCAACGCGCGAAAAGCCAGGGCATGAGCATTTAGCAGAAAGAAACTCGATTTTGAGTGGGTTGGGCAAGGTAAGGCAAGGTACAGGATACGAAAATACGTCAGCCTCCTCGTTCCCAGAGCCCTTCGTTTCTCTCGGTTGCGTGGTCTTTGAAACAAGCGCTTTGGCGAAAAACATGTTTAGAAATGTTAAAGGGGACATCCAGAATGCTCAACTGGGTTGGTGTACATTTAAAACGACAAGAAAAAACCAGCTGGTCATACCGTTGGTTTGGAGAACTAAGGCAAGTAATCGACAAGTCATCCAACATTAAGAATTCATTTCGGCAAATTACTTTTTGGAAAGCATCTGTGGGAAATATCAGTATCGCTCCTTTTTTTGTTAGAAGAAAACTTTCATCATTTTGAGTAACCGTTTTGTGAACTCGTTGGAGCTAGAAGTGTTTTAAATGTCAGAATGTTTTGTGTTTAGTTCATTAGGAGAATAAAATTAGAATAGTACTTTCTTGTGCTTTTAATACTAACAACGTCGTTATATTACACTCGAGTTATATTTATTCAGAAAATCTTCATAAGCTTTAAAGACAATGTTGATACTCTGGTCTTTATATTAAAGAAAGCTACAATACCCTTCACAAATCGTTGAAACTGACCCCGTTTCTCGTAAATTTTCTCGAAACTTTCTTACATTCAATCTTCGCAATTTTTTTCTCACTCAAATAAGCCCCACTCCTTTCTCAATGTTGAGCCACGCGTATTTTGAAGCACTAAGATGACTGTAATACCCAAATCAACATTGGGGAAGGGGAAACGCACACAAGTGTTTCAAGATTTTTGACGAGCATTGTAGTGTCTGTAAAACCCATCTCCCTGATTAAATTCGTCTTCATAATTCACTGATTTGTTTAAAGGACTACACTTTGGTGACAATTATCTTCAACGTCCATTCCAATGGTAAACATTCGAACGTACTCACTAATCCCCCATTACTGCTAGTTTCTATTATACCAGTTAACAGGTCCGGATGCTCAATAGTCACAAGTAAGGCGATACATCTTTTGTGTGGACTGGTTTTTGAGAAGCCTTATCCACGGCAACAGAGATCACAGTTACTCCTCTCCGACACATTTTTCTTCTGTCTTTTTTGTTTGTTTGTTTGTTTGTTTGTTTGTTTCAGTAAACCAGAAGACACCATTGGATGTAGACTTATATTTTGTGGCTGGAAAGCTAAGGTATCAACTCGACTTCAAATTAGCAAGTTTGACAAGGCACACTACCAAGTACTGTGTGGGGCACCTACTGAAGAACGCAAAGGTAAATGAATTTTTTACTTTTTCCATTGCATTTTTTACTATATTGGAACCTTTTTGTAAACCCAATTGTTAGATTTTCTGCTCTATAAAATATGTATCATCCTCGAGTCGTGATAAACAGTCAGTGCCATTTCTAGCAATGTTTCGATTTCTTAGCAGACCCCATTTAATGGGCTGTTAAATGACAACATAATTAATAATAATGACCTTTGTTTACCTTTGGCAATATTTATAGCACTTATGCTTGTTGGGTTGGTCGGAGGCAAAGCAGTTGGCTATTTACAAGCAAGCATGACCGAGGAGTCGAACAAATCCACCTAGTGGTCAAGGCGGTACTTAAACTCGGGGCCTCCGAATTGCACGTCCAGTGCTCTAAACTCTCGGCCACACTGCTTCCGTATTTTCTTACATTGTATGCTGATTCCCGTTGTCGATTACGTGATCTTCCCAGCGCATTAATATGGCCGATACTCTCCTTGAGTAAAGTCAAATAATATGCATAGAGAACAAAGTAGGAAAATGATTAACTTTGGACGCGCGAACTAAAGAAATATTTTTTACCGCTGACGGGAATGTTTTAGTATCAGAATTTTTTTACTGACTTATTGGCTTTCTTAAAACCATGGAGTTTCAACCGTGTTGTTTTTCGACCTGTCAATCCCTAACACTACAGTATTTTGTAACGTAAGTATACCCGACAGGTTTTATCCCTCTCCCCACCCCATCTAAGGCTTTGTTCACAATATAACGGATTTCTTTTGCGCCGGTACGGAAATCATGGCGGATAGAGCCTCTGTTAAAACACAAGAATGGTGACTTTGGCGCGATTTCTTTGACCAAGCGAAGCTGCGCCGGGCCGGTCTCAAGAACTGGAGCGTCACACATCGGGTAGGTTCAGTGCTACACGTTTGTGCAGTGTGAACAGCTATTTGGACCGTAGCGGAAGTGAATAAGTAGGAAAGAGAACTGAAACCCACTGAGACGGAAGTAAATATTCAGGTGTGAGGACATCAACGAAACATCAACATTTCCCAAACTAGAGAACTTCGAAAATAAATAGACTAGTTCAATTTGTAGACTAGTAGTTTCCATTGGCCGATGAAGTGCTGCACGTAGAGTGCGTGACAGTCAAGTGCAAACACATCCATGACATATACGTAACCTCAGACGAGTAGTTGAAGTTCAAATTAGCGTGATTTTACTTGAACCGTGAAACAGTTAATAACAACTAGTGCAAAATAGCTACAAGTAAACAAAAGAAGACAATAGAATAAGTGCATAATAGTGCGTGGTATTCTACTACCTATTTCACAGGTTAAGTAAAATCACTATAAATACATGCAAGAAAGTGAATCTGCAATATCGAATCTGTTTAACCGTAGAGTTCCAGTAACTGCGTCAATATTCTGAGATACTAACGCCTCAATACACCACGAAGCAGGATTTCCTCCGCTATGATATTTCATGTCCTACTTTATCGACGGTTGAGTATTCTTCAGGGTATTTGCTTTTTAATACGCGTGTATGAATACACGAAAATCGGGGAAAATTACATCATTTCTAAAAAGCCAGAACGTGATCAACTACACGCTTCACCTCAATCATTGCCGAGAATAAACGGTCTCCGCTAGGAACGCCCGGGAACCCGACCTCCCTTTTGTGTCCTAAATACGAAGAAGAAAAACGGCTTGCAGATTATGACTCTCGGTGCTACGCAACCTCGAGTAATGAAGTATGATCCTCGCAGTTGTGAACGCAATTTATGCAATTGTGTAAGAAGCCTGGGGAAAAAATCAGCACTTCAACGGGGTTTGAACCCACGACCTAGTGCGATGCTCTAACCAACTGAGCTATGAAGCCACTGATGGTGGGAGCTGGTTAATTAAGTGTTCATATATTCCCGTGAAAAAGATGAATGTGACAGATGTATATGAAATGAATCATATAAGAACTGCGAAAATGAAATCAAATTAAGGGAACATTTTTTTCTGGCTTCTTAAGCAATCGCATAAATTGCGTTCACAACTGCGAGGATTATTCTTCATTTGATTTGAGAATTTTGACAATTGAAAGTAATTTGAGTAACCTCAACGCGTATGCTCTCTAGCTGACATAGCCCCTTTAAAGAACCAAACCCCCTGGGCCAACCGCTCGGGCGGCACGATGCTTGATGTGTGTGAACGACTTGTTCCAGTTCTGTGCCGCTACTGTTTACATTAAACCGGATTGCTTTTCGTGTCGGCACAAAAAGCTATCCGGTATAGTGTGATCATAGTTCAAACCCTACTGTTCCAGGTCTGACGAGTGATACTGGTCTAAGTTACTATTGCATTTGCTTACGGACAGGAACCAAAATTACCCAAAAACAAGAACAAGTAAATGAAACCACTGAAACAGACAGTGGGGAGGTAGAAGAAGCTCAACCAAGCGCTGATGAAGAAGAACAACATGCAGGTTTTATTGGTGACGTTCTTAATGTGGACGCTCCTGAAGGGTCATTAGACGTAGGATTTATCTGAAGGACGTGCTTTTTTGCTCTCTTTGCTAAAACAGTCCGCCGATACAGCTTTTAACATAGTAGAGAATATGAAAAGCGTTGTTGTGAATGAAATCATAGGTGTAAATACAGACTGTGGTTTAAGGGCCTGATGTACTTTTCCACGCATGTGCGATAGTTTGATTTTTGATCCAACATCAATCTCGTCCCCAGAGCCTCCGTTATTTTTGTCCAACGGATGGGGTAACTGGCGCTCTGAAAGAATCCAAAGCCAGAACCACAAAATCGTGGTTCCGGTTTGATTGCGCCTGCGTGAAATTGTTAACCAATTTGACCAAGAGAAGTTTTCAAGGGAGATTTTCCTTGCTCACACATTGTTACAATTCTCTCTTTCCACAGCAGAAATTTGCATGTGATGAACACGATTTTATCGGGCAATCGGAGATGGTTTTTTCGGATTCTTCTAGAGGTTAGTGATCCCAGTCGCTGTACAAAAGGATCGCGGCCTCGGGGAACGAGATTTATCCAACGTAACATCGTTAAAAGTTGGCTTCGATGCGAAACAAAAACATCCCTAGCCATTAATATTCTAGATTATCAAACTTACATTGACAGTATAAGAGATATTTTGTTAAGGAAGAGAGAGAAATCCAAAATTAAAGGAAACTCAAAGCTCTTGTGAACCAACTCATGGTTAAATTTAATTAATGTAGCAAAAATAGGGGAAAAAAGGATTTCGGGAATTATTGGGTTTTGATTGCGTATGAATAGTTGTTGGGCGGGAATAAAAAATCTGTTTTTCATTAATGTTGGACCACTTAGCAACGCTGACTTAATTTTTTGCAAGGTCTCGCTGTTGTTTCCATCATAAAATGTGTCAGGGTAAGTGTATAATGTCACGTGACGTGAGGGATGCAGTATTAAGAGGCGAGATGGGTGTCAGTGACGCGTTGTTAAGTGTCTAATATATAGATTTAGCCTAGGCTAAAAGCGACGCTTCCATTAATATATTTAAAATCAAACAATAAACTTGTGATCCACAAATCAGTTAACTTTAGGGTACATTCATTTGACTTTTGAGGGAAAGGCTAAGTGATTTTAGAGAAAAATAATTGGCATACAATCTAAGAGTGAAACAAATCTTACATCGAGTTTATAGTCTTACATGTACACCTAAATAATAGCAATCATCTTTGATCACAGTCAAGAGCCATAATGGCTTTTGATCACAGTAGATTAGGCCTGGAAAACAAATTCTTCCCAAGCAAAATAACCCAGTCGCCCACCTACACCAACTTTGTTTATGAGGTTAATTGGACAGCACCGAAATTTAAGTTTTAGCTATAAAGGCCGGTTATAAGACGCGATAGCCCTCGGTGGTAGCCAATTTACAGGTTGAAATTTATAGGCTGCATTACTTTGTCTAAAATGGAAGGCCAGAATAAATAATCAGGACGAATTTTTTGTGTTCGACAAGTTTATTTTAGAAATAAAATCTTGCCAACAAATCTGGTGGCGTGTAAGGCTGCCTTTTATACTTTTTATACATCACATTTGAGGTAAACATGGAGGCGCTGTTTTTTTTTTTGTTGTCATACAGACCTCGAACAGAATGCAGATTTTCCCAATTTTGCAGGACAAATTGCACTCACTCAATATTCAGGACGATCGAAGCACGCGCTTCCTTCCACAACAAATTATAGAATTGACCACGTTATAAAACGTTTTCATAAAGAGAACTCCATAATGTCGGGACTGTTCGGTCAGAACAATCTTCTCCTGTGTGGTATTCAGGATAATAATGGGCTTTAAGCGAAAAAGTTCACAAAATTTCCAAAGTCATCTATATAGTATACGGCCAGCCGGTTCTCACCTTTGACAAGCGAAAAATTTGCAGTGCGAGCTGTTGCGCGTTTGAATGGACATTGATATTCTAAGAGTTATGCTTCAGCATAATAAAGAATTTTTTATGTTTATTTAATGGTTTTGATATGTGTAATCTTTAAAAGCGTTCGATCCGCGCGGTATTTTTTGAGTTCCGATTGAGCACTCCTGCAAGCGATGTTCATGTACAACCGAAAACAACCGGCACAGCGATTAAAATTGCGAAAGAGACTACTAACGATCAACAAAACAAATACGATTCGGTGAAATTTATAAAGACAAGTATTGAGATTAAAGTGTCTCTAAGAATCTTGAGTAGTGTAAGCATTATAATTTAATAAGGTTATGTTTTAAGCTGGCCGGCTTCCCGGTGTTTGATACTTTTCCAAGATGGACGCGAGGCGAGAATATCGCTCAAAGCTTTCTTTTTACAGTCACAATTATACCTTAATCTTCTTCGGGACGTTTTCTTTCTATCCGCGGTCAGAAAATGTCTAAAAGGCTTTTTAAAGTTCTGCAAGCTTAAGCTTATATCAAACCTGATAAGCTTACTAGGTCAGATCATTGTCTCAAATCTTACAAACGTGCATAAACTAGTCGCATAAACTACGTTCGACTTCTTGAAACCAGAAAAGCAAACAAACAAACATCAAATACAAAAATTACTTAAGCTAACCAGAGGAGATGCAGCTCCTGAAAACCATCAAGTAAGTGCAGAATCGCTTGAGACGTTTCAAGCCTCTTATGCATCAAGCACGGTGAAAAACGAAAACGATACGATCGGATTTCTGATGACTTTGACAATCAGCGCATTTCTCAACCAAAATCCCAATAAACAAACCAGCCATGAATGACAAGAATCTAGATAATAACTGTATTTCATTTTGTACATCCAGTGAAAAAGGCAGTTAAAAACATCACAAGATGACAAGAACTCTGTTGGCTTCAGCTATCAGTAAACAACTTTCCAGATGCTGCATTAATTTTCCTCATGAACTCACCTGTCAATTTTTGACCAATCAGAGCATAAAAATTGGACGTAGAGCGTGACCATGGTAAGAAAAGTCCAAAGCAGGTTGTCAAGCGAGTCCTATATTCCTATAAAATCCTATTTTTTCCTACCTCTCCTATTAAGTCCTATAAATTGAGCAATTTTTTCCCAATATTTTAGGCCTTTTTCATGTAAAAAAATTAACGATTGATTGCGGGATTTTCAAATTTATAAAAAAATTTATCGAGCAGTTTTTTGAAAAATGCGAAATTTGTAGACGTGGACCAAATTACGTGCAAAAACTGTAACAAAAGCAGCTGAATGCAGGTTAATAAAATTCTTCTTATTCGAGATCGCCCAGAGCAAAATTCCCCCCTTTTTTGTACACAGTTTACAATGGAATCACACCACTATGAGATGAAGCCGCGTTTTCAAAGCTTATCATTTTCTTAAAAAATGAGCTAATTGTGTGGATAGCATGCTATTTCACTGTTTTTATGATGCTTAAAACTTCGTTTCAAAATATTTCGAAAACGCTCTCATAGAATGTGTTCAAACTTTGCCATAATTGAGGCAATTATGGCAGGTACAAACTCCTTTAAGCGATTTCTTAAAAAAAACTCCTGGTACAGAGAAACACAAAGATAAATAAAAAACGTAATGGCGTTGTTACGTGGCCATTGGGACTCCGATTGCAATAAAACTTGAATCATAAGAAATTTTCATCTTTATATAATACAGTTGTGGAAACCTTTTTTCCATATCTTTACTCATGGCGACGTAGTTAATACTCAAACTTGGGAGGTATCCCCCCCAAAAAAATCCAGTCTAGCCACCTTAATACAGAGTTATCTTGAGCGGAGAGAGAAGCAGAAAGGTGTCGAGTGTCTGAAACGGAAGCTAATTGAAAAAAGCTTAGCAGAAGTTCCACTTACTAAGAAAATGCCAAGATTGACTGCCTCGCTACCAAAGCAGGCAGCGGAAAAGAGGAAGAAATCCAACGTTAGGAACAACAACCTAACAGCAGTGGTGATGGAGTTAACCATGAAGGGTGTAATTTATGGATGCTTTACCTGATCTGATAGAATATGAGTTGTCACTTCTGTTCACATTGGCCTGTATTTTACATAGTTTCTGTAATTGTAAGCGTTATTGTCAGCATTTCCATTTCTGTGTACACAGAAGTAACTGTCAGTACTGAGTTTGGACTCGAACTTGTTGATATTGTCAACCATGATCGTTGATTTGAAAACAATGTAAGATTGCTGTTGTTATTAATCTTGCGTGCCGAGGAGTTCATTGTTCACTGAGACGATGTTATGATCCCAGAAAAAAACAACGCTACTTTTTCTTTCTGAAGTAAATGATAAACTTACTATAAGTTTGAAAGATATCTCTGAAACCGAAAAAGAGTCTTTCTTTTGTTGGCCCCCTAATCTTGGCAACATATTAAATGAATAAGTATAATTACCTAGAGAGTCTATATAAAATAAAAACCCTTGCGTTGGGATGTAAGTTACTACCGGATTAGTCCTATATTTTTGCAGTTTTGTTGGGTTTTGTCCTATATTTTCAGGTCGCTTAGTCGTACATTCCTATATTTTTGCACCCCTAAAGCGCTTGACACCCTGCAAAAGCAACTGCCTTCCCTGCCTGTAGAATAGCTGGCTGAATTTTCGCGTCCGAGGATAGTTTGAAAAGTGCGGCTCATGAACACAACTTATTTCTTTCGCATTTAAAAAATTGAACCTGAGCCTGCGATCATTTAAAAACTAAGTTGTCAGTGGGTGACTTCAAAAAATACTCGAGCTCGATGGGTCGGTCGATACCTGGCGCCGCGATACGGTCAGGTGATACTGGTCAGCGGATACCCTATTTTGAAATCTGTCAATTGATCACAACATGGATGTGCAAAATCACCTGGGCTCCCAAACTAGCTAGTAAGTAGGAGATAAAACATTGGTAACCCTGTGGTGCGGACGGACGGTCGGTGTATGGTCATGTGATTAGGATGAATAGATTTTCGGCAAGTAATTCATGGCAGTCTCCATATAGACTCCCTAATATATTAGTGCAATATTGTATACCCCTATATATCCTGTGTACCCATGAATACCTTAGTAATACTGTATACCCTGTATACCCCC